CTCGTATGTAGTAGTAAAAAAAAAGAACAAGAAAGTTATTAACCCTTCGTATAGTACATGCAACGGAATGAAAAACTTTCTACAGCTCGACTTAGCACGTAATTTTGTAGCCACACATTGCTTTTTAGGTCGACTACTGAAAACTGATATGACCTCTGAGCCGGTTTCGGCTCAATATTTGTATACCTGTTCGTTATATTACTAACTAGACAGAAAAAAAATTCACATCATGCAAAAAGTCAGGTTGAAAATGTATTCATGAATGATATAGGTGTATCCTATTTTATTATAAACACCCAACAGTTTTCTAAGTTAAATCAATTTATATTGGCTAATAATGAATCTTCACTTTTTCGGCGGGGTAGAACAACCATCGAATTTGTAGTAGGTATATAAAAAAAAATAATAAAAACCATTATCGACACTAGATATATATAATTTACATTTTGCGGTAAATTACATTGTAGATAAAATTGCATAAATTTCTTCTTGTAGTTTATATTGTTTTTATAAATGTTTATCGATCGATTTATTAAATATAAGTAATACCTAGAAGTAGACATTACGGATATTTGTATCAAGCTCATAAAATACAAATAATTAGAGAAACAATAAAAACGCAAAGAAAATAGAAAATTGAAAAAGTTCGTGAATAAGTAAAAAAAGGAGTTATATAAAAGAAGAAATTAATAATTGTTTTTTAATTAAACGGTAAATTGAACAGTCAGTTATACTTTGTACCGTTTATATTTATTTAACGATTGTAAACTACTGAAATAAAATAGAAAAGTTGTTTCTATTTTCTGAGTTCAACGAACATTTTATTTTTTTTTATACAACCAATGTCATAATAGTTGTAGAGAGGTTGTTGACCAAGTACCAGTAGCGTTCCATTTGATCAGAGAGCATCATTTCTTTTCTAGAAATTCAAGGTACTATTGTTGATTGAAAATTTTTTTACCATTTTTTGTACCATTGACTTTTCAAATATTTTTTTTACAACAAGATAGAGAAGTGAGTGAGACTCAACGAAATCTTATTGATTCAACATCCAACTGATTAAATGTTGAATTGAATAATGAAGTGACATTGAATTGTCGTAGTTTTTAACTTTTCTTATGGTTATGTATGCTTGGTGAGAATTAAATTGACTTGTAAAAAATAAATACATGACAATCGTTTGAGTTTTTAACAAACGTGGATTAATAAAATTTCTTGGGGTAAGCCAATGATAAAACTGAAAATTTTTTTTTGTTTTTGAAAAAAATAATTATTGCGAATATTTAACAGCTTAAAAAATTATGATATCTGTTTACAAATAATTACTTAAAAATTTTTCACTATTTATGAGTTTGATATTTTTTTACAGATCAAATTAAGATTCATTCCAGTAATTTTTTTCAGCAGAAAAGTAAAAATTCAATACTCTTTAATTATTGGATATTTTTCAATCCGTTAAAATAAAAATATAACGGAACATAGTATTATGACTACCTTCAGTGACCTATTTTATGCATCGGAAAATCAGTTGATGTGACTAATAGAGATATTTAAATTCAATTTTGATTGGCAGTCTATCAACATTTTTTGTTAACTTAATTGGAGTTGTGAATAAAATATATATATATCATAGCTCTACACTAGAATCAATAGCCAATAATTTTTATGAATCGTTAAAATAACGAATCAATTCAAGTTGTAATAGTCATGTTCTCTATAAGTAATTGGTTTCACTTTTGTAGGTATAAATATAAAAAAGTAAATAAAAAATTGATAATAAAAAAGATTAAATGACTTTAATAAATAAAAATATCCAAGGTACGAGAGTAAGAAAATTCTCTCCACGCTCCTTTGAGCATTAAGAAATTTTTAAAAAAGAATACAATTGAAGAAAGCAATTACAGGTAATGGAGCTGGCAACAGTATACCTTATACTTTCTAGAAAAGATACGAATTTAGAGGAGCGCGGTCATTAAGCGGCACCTCTATCTATACTTTCCTTTATTTTATTATTTTATCTGTTTTTGTTTTATTTTTTTTTTTTTATTTTCTCTCCCACCATAGTTCTAGATGTTCTTTTTTCATCTCTATTTACCTCAACAGCTTTTTATACCTCCTGTCGATTTCAAGCTCTTTCTTTTTCGCACATTAAACTGCCCTCTGTATATACGCATGCGGCTATTTGCTTCAATTTTTCGTCTATGTAATTTTTACAAGACTCTTACTGTTTTTGTAGAGCCATTATTCTTCGTGAATTTCTTTTCTGACCTCTTGTCATTAACTTCACTTATCGTTACTTATCTTACTATTCTTTCTAAGTCTACTTATGTTTATACAGACAAGATTATGTGGATATATCATTATACATTTTTATCTTTTATCGTACTTTCTTCAAGAGTTTTTTTTATCTTTGCTAATAAATTAAGGGTTAACACAATTTATCTAATGACCTAATTTATTCTGAGTAAGCAAGCAACATTATTTATATCAATATTATGACCATAAGAGTATCTTTGTACTTATTTTGATTAATTCTAATAATAAAAGTAGTAGAAAATTGAACATGTCGTTTCCCATGAGGAAAAATTTATAAAAAATATTTGTTAAAATATCAAAAATAGATTCAAAACATATTAAGAAACCTTAATGGTTAACATGCTTAAAAATGTCATGGAAAATGCGAGTATTTGATTGGATATTTGTTTTTCTGATAATTATTTATTATTTTGTATTTCTTTCTCTATAAATTTATTACTTTTTGTACTTATTATCTCTTTGCATTATATTATCGACAAAACTTTTGTAAAAAGTATATGTATTATAACATTGTTATTTTTGTACTGATTCTATACACAGGTGTCTTTACACCTCTATAGAATTTTTTTTACCAGATAAATAAATAAAAAAAAAAAAAAAATATAAGATATATATAAAAAATATATTTTTAATAGCTAAATTTTGGCCGATTTTTATTCACATTTTAAATGGAATCTAAATTACATTTAAAATACATTTTTAGATATCTAAGAGATGTATATTGAATATATAAAAAAGATATCGATGTGACAATAAATTTTTCATAGATATTTTATATATTTTTCATTTGTGAAGGGTTGATTTAGCGATAATGCGCTTTCCGTCGGAGATTTTTAACACTACCTTTGATCGAAAAATTATAAACGGTTGTATATAACCATAGCAAACCTTATGTAGACATATCAAGTCATATTATAAAAATTTTTCACAGGCATTCGCCAGACTCATAATTTAAACTAATAAGAGTTATTAAATTTTTTATATTATTAATAACCTGAATTAAATAATTGTTGAACAAATATTTATCATAGTGTTATTATTAACAATGATTTTATATTTTACAAAAGAAATTCGAAGGAAATCAAATATATTCAATTTATTTTCTGACAGATCTTAAAACTAAAAAGAAAAAAAGCCAAAATCTAAGAAGTTATCAGCTGGTAAAGATGAGGGTAAAAAAAGTGTGCGGTAAAAAAATGATTTCAACCCTCTCGTTCGCATGAAGCATGAAAAAAGCGCAGAATCTTGATAAGTTACGGTGTCATTACACTCGGTGAGCAAATCAAACGAAATTTCTTTATGTAAAAAAATTTTTTTTTTTTTCATTAGCCAAATAAATGCTTGGAGTATCTGTTTTCGACTGAACTAAAAAATATTGTTTTGAATTGCACTGATATGAGTAGAGACATCTAGGGATTTGTCTAAGAGAGATATATGTTTTCACAAAACTGAAGTTTTGATTCATGCATTCAGTAGCGATTTTTTTTTTCACAAATTATTCAAAAATTTTAAAATTCCATCCTTAAGCTACTGGATGTTCAATTTTTTTTGAATTTTTATCGGCAAAATCGTCCATGAAGTTTACTAATTACAAAATTTTCATGAAAAATTAATTAATTCGATTTAATTGGATATGAAAGTTTTCAATAGTTATAATTACTCAAGTAGTATGATTAATTATAACATAACTTCAACTAACCGTTCGTTTGTTACCTTAAGTAGGAATAATTTAAAATTGAACATTTAGCAAACAAAAGTACTTTTTAGTAGATAAGTAGACTAAAGAAAGTAAAGTTTAAGAAAATAAAATTTATAAGACTTAATAACCCATAATGCCCAGACAAAGAAGTTCATGTGATCTAATATAAACTTAAGAGATCACCTCGGAGACTGAAAAATCTAGTGGGACCATAAGGATGATTCTAAGTCAAAAGTTCACTCTGAATTTCACTTAGATGAGTTTAAACTACTGTTCACATTTCACAAGTTGGTTTGCCTTTTACTTTTTTTTTCCTAATAAAGAAAAAAAATTTTCACTGACTCGTTTCACTGAAACAGGATATTTAAAAAAAAAGACATGATATATTTGGGAACTTGAAATTCAATTATCGAAAGAAAAAGTATCAACAAAAGTTTGCGTTGTCGATTACTTAGTTTATTACACCCATGAATCATTCGTCACGAATGAATTTAGTTGTATTTTTTATAACGTCAGAATAGAGAAGATTTAATTTGATACTTTTTTAGGATATAATTTGTTGGTTCAGACTTAATAACGTAATGGATTTTTTTATTCATTTTAAATAAAAATTCGCAAACTATTTATCTAAAATTGTTTTTTTTTTTTTAATTTAAAACAATTTTTTTTCAACAAAAACGTTACAGGGAGAAAAATTTTGATTTCTTCAAGTAAAAAATAAAATTGAAATCTTTCAAAAAATTAATTTCTTGTCACAACAATGCCGATCTTTTTCAAACTAAATTTGTTCTCTCAGTGTGAAACAAATAACTCTCGGATAGCACTGAGTCAAATTTTGGATTGAACTGAGTTCAACGAAAATTGCACTCACTACAATCTACATGGTAGTAGTTACTATCTGAAAATTTTTTCCACTATAAATGGAACGAGGCCTCCCCGCCAGTTAAATCTTAGTTTTTCCGTACACGGTTTTATTTTCTTAAAATCAATCTAGTTCAATAAAATAGTAATATGGCTTACCCGTACGTTTTTCGGCGTCACGAAAGGTAACTTCACTAAGAACAACCGCCTGACTGCGACCCTTGGCATTGACAGCATAAACAGCAACATGTACTCCAGCATCAACTGGAACATCTAGACTGGAGAGTGAAAAAATTGGCTCGTCGCTTGAAGAAACGTTGTATTGTGGTTTGCTGTCTGGCAACGAATCAATGTTACCGTGGTATACCTCGAGAACGAATCTCTGAGGCAAACCACCATCATATCCGGCAATGCACTTAACTTCAACGCTTGTATACGTTTGATTGGCTAGAGTGCAATTTCGTACTGGAGATGGCTTGCCTGTAATAAAAATTTTGTATTGAAAATTCAATTTTCCCAGAGCTTTGTTAAATCCTTTTATCGTTCAACGCATTTTATACTTGTGTAATACATTTATAACTTTGTATAAAAGCTAAAGGAGAAAAATGGATTAGTTGAACAAAAAAGAATTTTTAGTTTTTTTTTGTTAATTGAACAAAATCACAATTATGTTGAATATTGTAGACAAAATCTTTTTCAATTTTTACTAACGAGATTCTGAATGAAAAAAAAAAAGAGAAGGAATCTTTTATGTGAATTTAATTTTTTAAATGAAGGTTTAGGTCAAATTTCGTTGGATATATTAATTATTTTCTGTAAAGAGATCATTTTATATAGTTAAGATTTTATATTGTATTTCTTAGATCCTTTTTCATAACTGCCTTGTAAACTGAATACTCTAACGGAAGAATTTCTTAACTGTTAACGATTTTATTTTTTTGAAAACATTTTATTCATTTATTTAATAATAGATCTTTTAATTTTAATAAATATTTAAAATAAAAAGTTAATTTATTAACAGTTAAAAAATGTCAATAAATATTTTAATGGTAATAAGCTAATAAAACTAATAACGTCTTAACCAACATTATTGAAAAATTTTTCGACAGTGTAATACTTTCATCAAATAAGCATGTTAGTACCCGAAAACGTAATCATTAAAGTATTTTTAATAAATTGCATTTTATAAATTACTCATTATCTATTGATAAATATTTATTAAACCATTTAATATTAAAATCTCGTTTATTAACAGTTCATAAAGCTTATTAAGTATTGATAAATTCTTATATCGGTGTACGATCAATGAGATTTCTATAGCCTCGCTATTTTGCATCATCTTTATAGGGATTTAATTTTTTAGCAAAAGTTAATTGAGTAAAGTTTATGAATAGTTTTTCCATTATAAGAGTTCATTTTTTTATTGAGCTTATTGTAAAATCATTTACTGCTATTATATTTACATCAGATAACACAATTGCTAAAAAATTCTAAGTCTAAAGGTCGGCTAAAAAAATTCTTGAACATAATGATAAATCAAAAGTTTTTAAAGGCTGAGGCTTTTAAAAATTACATCATACTAAAGTAAGTCGAAAAAGAAAAAAAAATAATGTTTAGCCAATAAAAATAAATGTGAATTCTTTTCTGTTTCTTAAACGGCTGTTGTAAAATCCTGAGCGACTTTTTACGTTGGTAATAAATAATAAAATATCGGTATAGGTATAATAATCGGAGGAAAAATCATTTAATATTCTCAAAGAGTTATTTGAGATATATTCGGCAGGGCAAAGGTTCACATTTGGGCAGGCGATAAAATGGAAAAGAAATAGATTGATGGATAGGCGATGAACGCGATACCGAGACCAAGAGCCATTTTATTTTGATTTGTATCGCTCTCGTCTGTCAACGTCCGCATAGTGACGGCACGTTCACATCTCTAAGTGGTTATACGCGTCGCCGATGTTAACCCCGATTCCACTTTTAAATTATCAAACGGCTTTGAATCGTCAGTTTCAGCTTTTTCTCTGTTTCCGAAGTTATCATACTTTTTAGTGACAATTATACCTAAAATTGCCAATTTTTATCAAACTCCAATCTACTCACGTAGATCGTTAATTACACTTGATTTTTCGATGGACCGATTCCATTTTGTTAAATCAATGGAGTAGTTTGAAAATTAGTAGTTTTTGTTCAGTTATGTACTTTAGTTTTTATAAGTTAAGAGAAAATTGTAATGTATTTTTAAGTTTACTCATGTTTTCTAAAATATTTCGACAGACTTTCACAAAGACGTTATAAAACTTAAAATTCGGAAATTTATGAGTCAAACTCAAGTAGTTGCCATTGTCAGATAATCCCTTTAATGACTTAGACTAACCTTCAACACAAACGGATAAATTTTACAATCCATCTGTTCATCAGATGGCGACCAGACTTTTCCCAATTTAGCAATTTTCTCACACTTAGTTTAAACAACCTTTCTTTAAATAAATTATACCCTTTCCAGAATCCCTTTAGTTAACAACAATTCCCCAACTCCAGTTACTTTCCACCAATCAAAAACGAAAATACCCTTCCCAAAATTGCACTCTCTGACTACGATAGTTGGACGAAAAATCGAATAAGACAGTTACCCAAAAACCTTTGACCACGCTCGCCGAGCGCCTTTGTTACTGACAAACCTCTGACCACGCTCGCCGAGCGTCTTATACCTGACCTTTACCGACTTTTGTACTGATTAAATTATTGTAAAAGTATAGTCAGTTAACAATTTAATAAATCAATTTACAAAAACGAAATATTTGTGATCTTTTTAATTAAACATCACAAAAATTCTTGTTAAATTATAACCAAATTAATTGGCAAGAAAACAAAAATTGAGGTCATAATCATATTCGGTATGTCAAATATAATCTATCTAGACTATTCCTAAGCAAACCAAATCAATAGGGAAGAAGTTACCAAATCGAGCGTTCTCCTCGTAAAACGGTGAACAAGAAAAATTCATAAATTATAATAAATAAGGTCACGGTCGTCATCAAGAAGGCAAATACAAGCTAATTGGACCATTACTGAGCTTACGAAACCCATAGGAACGAAGTTATAAAATTTAGCGTTCTGGCCGTGAAAAGTTCAAAAATGGAACTTCCTTATTTATGATAATTGAGATCATAGTCAGCTTCAGGACGTCAAATACAAGCTATTTGGACCATGCTCAAGCTTACCAAACCATTAAGGACGAAGTTCCAAAGTCGGCCGTTTTCAACGAAAATCGCTCGAAAATAAAATTTCCTAATTTATGATAATTAACATCTTATTCATGTTCAGGACGTCAAATTAAAGCTATCTGAACCATTCCTTAACTTACGAAACCCATATCGACGAAGTTACAAAATCGACCCCTCGCTGTGTGAAATGTTCAAAAACGGAACTTTGTAATTTATGAAAATTAAGGTCATAATCATATTCGGTATGTCAAATATAAACTATCTAGACTATTCCTAAGCAAACCAAATAAATAGGGAAGAAGTTACCAAATCGAGAGTTCTCCTCGTAAAACGGTGAACAAAAAAAATTCATAAATTATGATAAATAAGATCACGGTCGTCATCAAGAAGTCAAATAAAAGCTAATTGGACCATTACTGAGCTTACAAAACCCATAGGGACGAAGTTACAAAATCAACCGTTCTCGTCGTGAAATGTTGAAAAATGGAACTTTTCAATTTATGATATCAAAGTCATAGTCGTCTTCAGGACGTCAAACACGTGGTATCTCGACCATTCCTGATATTACGAAACCCATAGGGACGAAGTTACAAAATCAACCGTTCTCGTCGTGAAATGTTGAAAAGTGTAATTTTATAATTTATGAAAATTAACTGATCGTCATCTTCGGGACGTTGAATACAAGAAATCCATACTATTTCCGAGCTTACTAAACCCATAGGGACGAAGTTACTAAATCGACCATTCTTGCCGTAAAACGTTCAAAAATGGAACTCCTTAATTTATGATAATTAAGGTCATAGAGGTTTTCAGGAAGTCAAATACAAGCTATATGTACCATTTCAAAGTTCACGTAACCCATAGGGACGGAGATTTAAAGTCGACGGTTCTCGTAAAAAACGTTCGATAATGAAATTTTCAAATTTATGATAATAACGGTCATAATCGTCTATAGGATGTCAAATAAAATCTTTCTGGACCATTTCTGAACTCAAGAAACCCATAGGGACGAAGTTATAAAATTTAGCGTTCTGGCCGTGAAACGTTCAAAAACGGAACTTCCTTATTTATGATAATTGAGATCATAGTCGGCTTCAGGACGTCAAATACAAGATATTTGAACCATGCTCAAGCTTACCAAACCATTAAGGACGAAGTTCCAAAGTCGGCCGTTTTCAACGGACATCGCTCGAAAATAAAATTTCCTAATTTATGATAATTAACATCTTATTCATGTTCAGGACGTCAAATTAAAGCTATCTGAACCATTCCTTAACTTACGAAACCCATATCGACGAAGTTACAAAATCGAACGTTCTCATCTTGAAATGTTCAAAAATTGAAATTTGCAATTTATGATATCGAATTCAAAGTCGTCTTTAGGACGTCTAATACACGCCATCTGGACCATGTCTGAGCTTACGAAACCCATAGGGACGAAGTTAAAAAATCAACCGTTTCGTCGTTAAATATTTAGAAAAGAAATTTCTTTGTTTATGATAATTAAGGTCATAGAGGTTTTCAGGAACTCAAATACAAGCTATATGTACCATTTCAAAGTTCACGGAACCCATAGGGACGGAGATTTAAAGTCGACGGTTCTCGTAAAAAACATTCGATAACGAAATTTTCTAATTTATGATAATAACGGTCATAATCGTCTATAGGATGTCAAATAAAATCTTTCTGGACCATCTCTTATCTTACGAAACCCATTTCGACAAAGTTACAAAATCGACCGTTCTCGTCGTAAAATGTTCAAAAATGGAACTCTGTAATTTATGATATCAAGGACATACTCGTCTTTAAGACCTCAAATAAAAGCTATATAGATCTTTCCTAAGCTTACGAAACCGATAGGGACGAAATTACTGAATCAGCCGTTCTGGTCGTTAAACGCTTAAAAATGATATTTCTTAGTATATTTTAATTAAGGTCATTGCGGTTTTCAGGACGTAAAATACAAGCTATCTAAGACTATTTCTAAGCTAACAAAACCCATAGGACGAATTTACTAATGAAACCGTTCACGTAGTGATACGTTTAAAAATGAAACTTCATAATATATTATAATTAAGGTGATATTCGTGTTCAGGACGTCACATCCAGGAAATCTAGAACATTTCCAGGCTTACGAACCCCATAGGGGCGAAGTTACAAAATCTAGCGTTCTCTCATAGCAACGTTTGAAAATTTGACTTTGTATTTTATGAAAATCAAGGTCATAATCCTCTTCAGGACTTCAAATACAAGATATCTGGACTGGTCCTAAGCTTACAAAACCCATAAGGACGAAGTTACAAAATCAACCGTTCTCATCTTGAAATGTTCAAAAATTGAACTTTGCAATTTATGATATCGAATTCATAGTCGTCTTTAGGACGTCTAATACACGCTATCTGGACCATTTCTGAGCTTACAAAACCCATAGGG